GACTCTTGGTGTCTCTCGGCAGAGTTCTTGGAAGTCGGGAAGAAGCAGCCGGCGTTGGACGTTTTGTACGACGTGATAAAGAGTAAAAAGCACCGAACATGGCAGAAGATACACGAGCCCATCATGCTGAAGTACCTGGAGCTGTGTGTGGACCTCCGCAAGAGCCACATGGACAGGTTAATATCAAGTCTCTGGAAGATGTGGTTCGGGCCTACCTGAAGCTGGCGGAGGAGAGGACGGAGGCCGCCAAGGAGTCCTCCCAGCAGATGGTTTTGGATATCGAGGATCTGGATAACATTCAGACTCCGGAGAGGTAGGTCGGGAAGGCCGGTTGGTTGGTGAACGCCATCTCGCGGTTCTCTGTACGGTGAACTCACCTTTTTCTTATGTGTTGGCAGCGTCCTCCTGAGCGCGGTAAGCGGTGAAGACACTCAGGACCGTACTGACCGGCTGCTCCTCACACCGTGGGTGAAGTTCCTCTGGGAATCCTACAGACAATGTCTGGATCTTCTGCGGAACAACTCCAAGGTGGAGCGTCTGTACCATGACATCGCCCAGCAAGGTGAGCACTTTCTGTGGAGGTCCTCGTCCTCAATAGCCCCGGTGCCCTTCCCATATGATCTGGCCACTCGAGGTGCAGGAAGGTGACCATTCGATATGATCTGATCGCTCTGGAGGTCCTTGTCATCCATGGTGCAGGTGACCTTCTGATATGATCTGATCTGATCGCTCTGGAGGTCCTCGTCATCCATAGTGCAGGTGACCTTCTGATCTGATCGCTCTGGAGGTCCTTGTCATCCATGGTGCAGGTGACCTTCTGATGTGATCTGATCGCTCTGGAGGTCCTCGTCCTCCATGGTGCAGGTAACCTTCTGATATGATCTGATCGCTCTGGAGGTCCTTGTCATCCATGGTGCAGGTAACCTTCTGATATCATCTAACCTCTCTGGAGGTCCTCGTCCTCCGTGGCGCAGGTGACCTTTCGATATGATCTTGCACTCCGGAGGTCCTCGTCCTCCAATGCGCAGGTGACTTCATATGATCTGACTGCTCTGGAGGTCCTTGTCATCCATGGTGCAGGTGACCTTATATGATCTGACCACTCTGGAGGTCTTCGTCCTCAAAGGTGACCTTTTGATATGATCTGACCCCGGTGGAGGTCTTCGTCCTCCGTGGCGCGGGTGAACTCATGATCTGACCACTCTGGAGGTCTTTGTCCTCTGTGGTGCAGGTGACCTGATATGATCTGACCCCACTCTGGAGGACCTTGTCCTCAAAGGTGACCTTTTGATATGATCTGACCCCGGTGGAGGTCTTCGTCCTCCATGGTGCAGGTGACATTCTTATATCTGATTTTGTTCTGTTCTGTTTGCAGCTTTCAGGTTCTGCCTGCTGTACACCCGGAAGGCTGAGTTTCGGAAGCTCTGTGACAACCTGAGGATGCATCTGGGTCAAATCCAACGTCACCACAATCAGAGCACCGCCATCAATCTGAACAATCCAGAAAGTCAGTCCATGCACCTGGAGACCCGGCTGGTCCAGCTGGACAGCGCCATTAGCATGGAGCTCTGGCAGGTGTGTCTGAGGCTCCTCCTACGACCTTTGACCCTTCCTGTGGCTCATGGCGGCCTCCTTATCTGAATTCTTTTTTTTCTCTCCTCTGAAGGAAGCCTTCAAAGCCGTGGAGGACATTCACGGTCTGTTCGCTTTGTCCAAGAAGCCGCCGAAGCCTCAGCTAATGGCAAATTACTACAACAAGGTCTCCACGGTGTTCTGGAAGTCTGGGAACGCCCTGTTCCATGCCTCCACCTTGCATCGCCTCTACCATCTATCCAGAGAGATGAGGAAGAACCTGACGCAGGAAGAAACGCAGAGGTGGGTGTAGGTCATCCTATGCCGGCATGGCACATGTCATTGTCCTCCTCTCTCTCGGTGGGAGTTTGGATATTTCTCATGTGTCCTATTAAAATGGAAGGAAATTAGCAGTGGAGCTTCTATCGTGCTCGGCGCTGTCAGTCACCTTCCGACATGTACTGCCGTGAGCCCGGGTCAGAATGACGCTCACTGGCGAGACCCTCCGGTGGTCATAGCTAGGGGTGCTGTGTATTGGGGGTATGTCTGCCAGTTAGGGGACCTTTGCCCGTTTTACCAACCTTCCCCTTGTCTTTGTGTTTGTCCGTGTTTTGTTCTTCCATCTCTATCAGCTCCGGACGCTCTTCATATGTCCCTCAACCAACATCTACATACAACCGCTTACCTCCTCCCTTCTCTCTTTCAGGATGTCCACCAGAGTCCTGCTGGCCACGCTGTCCATTCCCATCACTCCGGAACGCACAGATATTGCCCGTCTTCTGGACATGGACGGTATCATTGTGGAGAAGCAGAGACGTTTGGCCACATTGCTGGGGCTGCAATCACCGCCCAATCGAGTCGGCCTTATTAATGACATGGTGAGCTGCTTATGGATCCGTAGAGTTGACGAGTCGCTTCCACCATGATGTCAGTTCAGAGGCCCACTTTCCAGCCTCCAATATATGTTGTTCTTTGGGAAAAGCCGACTCAGACAGTATATGGCCGTGTGGGCATTAGAACATGCGTTTATCATGGGTAGTGCCAGGGATCTTGGTGATAGTTGTGTTGAGGGGTGGAGTCCTGTTTGACATAGGGACCAGTATGTCCGGAATGTGCTGGAAACGGGTCCTCTTCTCCAGCTTGGAGAGAAACTTGACCATGGTCTAATTCCTTTTGTATCTCAGGTCCGGTTTAATGTGATCCAGCATGTGGTTCCGGAGGTGAAGGAGCTCTACAACTGGCTGGAAGTGGATTTCCACCCTCTGAAGCTTTGTTCCCGTGTTACGAAGGTAGAGACATCTGAAGGTCTTTGTCTCGTGTTTCTGACTGTGTTCTCCAGTATGCTGAATGTGAACTTCTCTCCATAAACAGGTCCTGGACTGGGTGAAGGAACAGGCCGAGAAGGAGCCAGAACTTCAGCAGTACGTTCTGCAGCTACAGAACAACACCATCCTCCGTCTGCTGCAGCAGGTAATCATTTGTACCTCACCGATATATCTCCTCTTATGTACCATATACAGCTAGAGGAGTCTGTAGTTTTAGGGTTGGTTTCCTGCTCCTGAAGGCCATATCTGATGGCTTCCATTGTTGGCTGCTCCTGAAGGCCACATCTGATGGCTTCCATTGTTGGCTGCTCCTGAAGGCCATATCTGATGGCTTCCATTGTTGGCTGCTTCTGAAGGCTACATCTGATGGCTTTCATTGGCTGCTCCTGAAGGCCACATCTGATGGCTTACATTGGCTGCTCCTGAAGGCCACATCTGATGGCTTACATTGGCTGCTCCTGAAGGCCACATCTGATGGCTTACATTGGCTGCTCCTGAAGGCCACATCTGATGGCTTACATTGGCTGCTCCTGAAGGCCACATCTGATGGCTTACATTGGCTGCTCCTGAAGGCCACATCTGATGGCTTACATTGGCTGCTCCTGAAGGCCACATCTGATGGCTTACATTGGCTGCTCCTGAAGGCCACATCTGATGGCTTACATTGGCTGCTCCTGAAGGCCACATCTGATGGCTTACATTGGCTGCTCCTGAAGGCCACATCTGATGGCTTACATTGGCTGCTCCTGAAGGCCACATCTGATGGCTTACATTGGCTGCTCCTGAAGGCCACATCTGATGGCTTACATTGGCTGCTCCTGAAGGCCACATCTGATGGCTTACATTGGCTGCTCCTGAAGGCCACATCTGATGGCTTACATTGGCTGCTC